CCTTTCTGCTGGACAGCAGAACCCTAAGCCGTCCATCATGAAGCAGTCCTGGAAATCGCCTTGTCTTAGACCTACATTACCTACTTGTCTATTAGATTGACATATAATCATTTAACAGATACAGAAATCCGAGTGCCAGACTTGAAAATGTTGTGGCGCCACTTTTTTTTAAATTAACGCAAGCCTGCTGGATCATTAAAAATATTAATATCGTAAAATGTTCGTATATCTATATTCATAATAGAAATTTTATTTAAATCTGTAATCTGATGAACTAAATCTGATAACATGTTTACAAATTCCTAAAACTATTGCTTAGCCTGCATTTAATAAAAATCTGGAACTTGCGTGAAAGTAAAGCTATATTGAAATTAAAATATAAAGATAAAATTCCAGTTCGAAATATATAATTAAATAATTTTAAGATTTGATTGATATTCCAAAATATTTTTACTCGGCCGATCGACACATTTTTTGGTTAGTCACTGCTTAGTTTTTCTCGGGTTATGTTAGACGCATTATTATTTTGATTTATACTTTTTTGTTAATTATATTTGTTGATAGTTACGTCCTCAATTAATAACTTTATAGTGAGTGTATAGTGCGTTTTTGTGAGGCAAAGCATCAGTATCAGTCGAACCTCTCTTTGTTCCCAAACTAATACAATTTCTCCAAATCCTAACGACTGACAATTGTGTGCCTTTCTTCTTGGTAAGGATACATCGTAACTTCAATTCTTAAACTCAAATTCAATATTAATTGTGTATCGACGGCCACCGAACCGTTCTTTGTGGTACAATTCCCATTATTTTGAAATATGTTTAAACAATGTCCCAATTTGAGATGTTATCTTAAATTGATTTACATACGACAGAATTTCTAAATAGTTTGAGCCCATTCTGTAATTGTTTTAAAATTCAAAATTCTTTTAATACATTTTAATATATTTTGCCTATAGTAATAAAATTTGAATATTTTTAAATAAATTATTAGAAGATATTAAAACCGGCAACACATCTAGTTGATGCAAATTGTTTCTTTGTTTTTATTTATAGAACAAACGGAAAATGCTCTTTTCTTGAACGACGCGTTGTTCTTCTTATGTATGTGGCATTATTGGTGCGCCTAAATAATTAAAAAAACTATAATATAATAAGTTTGATTCAAGATTTGTTAACAACCAACTTTGTTAAGCATTCTAGATTCCTCAATACCTAAATAGCATACCTACTTCCGTATTGAAGTACGAGGTCCTGTATAACCTTTCATATGCAAGTAGGTGATCAGAATTCGGATTCTCATAATTTTGGGTCTGATATATCAAAGCGCGCTTTTAATAATAATAAAAGCCTTTATTCACAAAGCAAATACATACATTTATATAACTTTAACTGAAGCGATGATATTTCAACTATATTCATCAACTGTTTTGCACTAGTGCAGCAGCAGGTGAGGTTTTCTTGCCACATAGGCCTCTTGTTTCATCTCGTCTCTTTCACGAGCCGATACTCCATCCTTCCGAGTTCCGACTGATCGCCTTCCCATGTCTTTTGACGAACTCTTTTTCTTCTCCCATCTTTGGGATATCAGTCTATGACGTCTACCGCTTTGAAAGGATAACCTTTTTAATTTTTTAACTTAGGGCACGGCTTTAAAGTTATATATAAAAATGAAGAATTTCAAATATTTCTGTATGGATAAGCTTTTAGCCGAAATTTCAACGACGCCCGCGTTTCAATATAGTTTTGCGACGTGACGTGTATTAAAAATTGAGTTTTTACCACAAAATTCACAAAGCTGAAAGGAGCACATATTGCCAGTCTGAGACATGAGTATTACATTTTTGTCATGGTTTTCGGGATATACGGGGAAAATATTTTTAATAACTTTTATATTGGAATGGCACTAAATTTTTTAGAACAAATATTTGGGGGGTTTGACTTATTAACGTTAGAACTAGAATAAGCTCTGATATTTAATAATAATAAAAGCCATTTATTTGAGATCAGTGGCGCTACAACCTCTTTAGGTCTGGGGCTCAGATTTCTGAATCTGTTTCATGATCATTTTTCAATCTAATAGGGTGATCGACCTCCTGTGCCTGCCACACGTCGTCGACTTTTTGGGTGTAAGAAACGTGGGTTTCCTCACGATGTTTTCCTACACCGTTTGAGCGAATGTTAAATGCGCACATAGAAAGTCCATTGGTGCACAGCCGGGGATCGAACCTTCGACCTCAGAGATGATAGTCGCACGCTAACCACACTGCTCTTTATTTCTTTCAGATACTCAAACACGTTTATGTTCCTATCATCTCATTCTTTTTAGATATTAGTGTGCCCTTTTTTGGGAAAGGCGTCCTCAAAATCCCGCCATTGCTGTCTGCACTGTGCCACTATCTGCATGTACCTGCTGTCTCTTTAATCTGGTCTATTCCCCTTCTAAAGTGTCTTTCTCTTTTGTGTTTATCCTTGGCATCAGTTTAATACTTCCTTGCTCTACTTTACAGTCCCTGAAAGTGATATTTAGTTATAACAAACGAAAGTGACGCTTCAGCGAGTTAACTGATGCCTTTATTCAAAATAATTAAACCGTTTTAATTAAAACTTCTTTTCATAATACCCAGTTTAAGGGCAAGCCAAATGAATTAGAAAAAATATTGTACTATATCAGTGTTACACACACTGATATATTTTTTTTTATTCCTCGAGTTATGTAATCTAACTTTAGTTAAATACATGTATATATTTTAGTTAATAATTGAAAGCGTAAACCAAATGTTCAAAAAGGTCGACTGCACTTGTATTGAAGTGTCACTTAGATTTATGAACCCTTAGATAAGCTAAGTTAGTTTTTGTTAGCGTCACAACGCCACTAGCTAATTTTTTGTTAGTAATAATCTCATATTTTAAACGTTTAAATTCAGTTGATACACAGCTTTAAACAAAGTGTTTCATTTAACATATATCTGAAGATATCTACAACAACCGCGACCGAACCTTTTAACTCTCGTGTAAAATAATTAATTACTATCTGATTCATAGCTAGAAAGGTTTACATATAAAAAAAGGGTGCGTGTACTTATATGTACGCGCGTAAGAAGTTATACTTCTTTGGCTTTCTTTATTTTTTTTAAATATTAAATAATTAATAACAAATATTTAACGTTAATAATTTAATAATATTTAATATTTAGTATATTATTCAATTATTAATTAATATTAATAATAATAATTATTATTATTTATTATTTTATTATATTATTCATTCAATTTAATAATTACGTATGTTTTATAACCTTTTAACTAAGTAACAATAGGTCTTTGTGAAAAAGCATTGCTAAATTTCTTTGAAAAAATAATTAAAACTCCTTTATTTGTTTAAAAGGTAAATGTCATTATGTTCATTCAAAATTCTTGGCATAGCTGCTAACTTCACGCATATTCTATTTCTTTTTACTTGTAGATTGTCTTATTCCCATCTCGCTCGCGCACGCTATAATCACACTGACAACTTTGTGTCTCAGGTGGGCGCGCATCGTAAAATTTCACTCTCATCAATTTTTCATAACGCGCCTAAAGAAGTATAACTTCAAAAAGTCATCAAAAAATGTTTATTACGGAATATAAGATACAGGTATCACTTATTCCACGTCATTAAATTTGAATAGGTAGTCATCCCTACTCATCGGCAGAAGACAGAGGGTGTAGGCCGAAAGAAAAAGCCGGATTAAAAACTCTCGGTACTCTTTTAAAATCTTAAATCATCATATAGAATGACTATGGCAAACATAGATAGAAGAAACCAGAAAGGAGGGAGATACGGTCCTCTCTTTATTTGTATTAAATAATATAATTTGTATTACATAATCCAAGGTATAAAGATTGTTTATTTATTAATACTAAGAAAATATAAAAAATTACTTCAGCATTGCTTCTTCTATCCTAATGATGGCAAAGGAGGTTTTAACGCAAATAAGCGATCTCAGATAACCCTAGTTAGGAAAAAAATAAATGCTAGAGAAAAAAGCAAGAAGGTCGTAATTAAGTTAACAAAAGTGAAATAAGGAATAACAATAGAGTACAATTATTAAAAGTTTGTTTCTGTCAAATTGTACCAACGTTGTACTGATTTAGTAGTCGGATTGACGTTGCTATACATAATTATTTTTAGAAGAGAATCGAGAATGTCGCGATTTTTGCATTATTTGTGTCGTTTTATATGTACGGTTGTGCTATATATTAAATTATCTTATAGATACATAAGGATGCAATTATATACATGGAAATTTCAACATTGATACACGTCATTAACTCAAAATTATTCATTGCGAATATGTTTAGAAAGTAAGAGCCCATTAGAGCTCATACTAAACCAGTTTGAAAGTAGCGTTAGCTTTATATGTATATATTCAATTAAATAATTATCAAAGACATCATCTTAATTACTTGTAAATAAATACTTACATATTAAATGAAGTCCAGGCCACGTCTGATTTTTTGTGCGGTTTCACCAATAGAAAAAACAAAACACTTGAGGAAGGTATAATTCGAATTTACTAAAGTATTGGTACGGTTGAAGAGGTCACAAAATATTGCCATATTTCAAACTCAAACTCAAACTTTTCTCTGAATATTTAAACTTTACATTATTTACTTTAAATATATATTACTTAGACCATTATAAATAATATTCTTTGGCAAATAAGTACTACAATAAAAATAAATTATTCTTTACTATACGAAAATGCATCAGAAAATTTAATTTTAATCTTTCATTGTCTGTTGACTTTTGTTTCTTGAACATACTGTTCAAACGTAGAGATAAGTAAATATTTAAAGAAAAACATTTACTTGTTATATGTGAAACAGGTTTGGGTTATATTTCTGAAAATAAAATGTTTCAAAGGTTTTTACACTAATTAAATATTTCTTCCACATTTTCAGACACGCGTGCAGTTGGCTAACAGAATGCAAATGAGCTAATTTTGAATTTGGAACATGGGCAGCGGGCTTAGTAGCGCCAACAGCAAGCGGCGGAAGGAAAGCCAAAATGCCGAATCCTCCAGAGTACTCTTCCTTTTATATCTCATACATAGGACTTGGAACGTCCTAATCGAACACGTTGACTCGAAAAGTGCGAGGTAATATTTATTTATCTATTTATCGTGTGCAAGAACAGCAGCAAGGGAGTATGATTAAGTCATGATGGTTTGGTTTAGAAGAAATAGTTCGTAATAGATACGTTTTTATAATTTTGTTTATGCTATCAATAAAGTACAGAATACTAAGTTCATTTTATGTAGCATTTAAATGTTAACAAAGACATATAAAGATAATAAAAATTATTTGCAAGAATATGATACAAAAATATTATGGTAGTACAATCTAAACTTCGCATAATCTACCACATACAATAGCGTGTAGATTTATCTTAATGGTAGAATTTTCCATAGAAGTTACATTTCATGATGGGTCCTATCATTATAGTCAATTCTTATATTATGTTATTACTATATCACCAAATAAATACATTATTACATTATCAAATTAATATATAATGATTCGCTCGAATAATCATTAATAGAATAATTTTTTTTACTAAATTTTTTTTTTGTGTAATAGGAGGCAAACGGGCAGGAGGCTCACCTGATGTTAAGTGATACGCCGCCCATGGGCACTAACATTGCCAGAGGGCTGGCGAGTGCGTTGCCGGCCTTTTAAGAATTATTGTACTCTCTCTAGTAGGAAGATCTTTAAACGTTTTTACAACAATATGCGAATATTGTTTCCGCTTGCGTATGGTTGAACCGCTCTTTAAACTCGATTTAAGAGTAACGTTTTAATATAGACAATAATTATATTAAAGCTTTAATTTAGATTTAGTATATTGTGTTTTGAAGCTTTTAGTCCAATTGGATTTTCGAACCCACATTTTCTACAATCAATTTTTTTTTGTTCTAATATTATTTATTTATTTTATTTTTAAGATTATCTAATATATAATAAATATATGTGTATCATTGAAATATTTTTCAGATGGCGTCGGTCCCAATCAGTGCCGAGTTCTGGAGAGCTGGGTCGTCAGTTCGACTCCATAAGCTTCGAGTCCAGCGGTTCCTGTTACTCATCATGCAGCTGCAGTTACTGCCGGCTGAGGGACTGTGCGCATGATTGTGTCAGGTAGATTAAATATGTTTTTATATTTATCTATAGCTTGCATGCACGCTAGGACTAAAGATTCTAGAAGAACGCAAACTTCTGAGCAAAATTTCTGCTGTAAAGTGGGTACAGAAATAATTTTTCTTGTAATTCATAAGCATGCAAAAATGAGTTTAGCTCATAAAAAATAAAAATAAAAAAAATAAAATATGTTTATTATGGAACATAAGATACATGTATCACTTATTCCACGTCATTAAATTTGAAGGCATCCCTACTCATCGGCAAAGAAGACAGAGGGTGTAGGCCGAGAGAAAAAGCCGGCGTAAAAAACTCTCGGTACTCTTTTAAAACAGCAAATCATCAAACAACACTTATTTAAAACAAATATCGCAAATTGATTAGAAGTAGCCTGTCTAGCACTAGTCCCAGGCCCTTTTATCAACTAGATAATCGTTGACTTTATAGTAAGCCTTTTTACACAGCTTTTCTTTAATACATTTCTTAAATTTATTGAAAGGCAGTGATAAAAGAGCCTCTGGGATTTTATTAAAGAAGAGTATCCCTTTCCCAAAAAAGAATTACTAACTTTAGATAGTCTAGTACGGGGAAATTGCAGCCTGCGTTTGTTCCGTGTATTAACATTGTGCGTATGTTCTATTCTAGTAAACTTATCACTATTTTTGTATACATACATAATATTTTCATAAATATATTGCGAGGGAAAGGTAAGTATATTAATTTCCTTGAATTTATCTCTAAGAGATTCCCTACATTTTAAATTATAGATTGCACGAATAGCCCTCTTCTGCAGGATGAAAATAGTTTCGACATCAGCAGCATGACCCCATAATAATAAGCCATAAGTCATTAAGCTATGAAAGTAACTAAAATAAACAAGTCTAGCTGTATCGACATCAGTTAGTGAGCGAATTTTTTTAACCGCGTAGGCTGCAGAACTAAGTCTCTTCGCCAATCCGTTAATATGAGGGGACCACTGAAGTTTTGAATCCATGGTGATTCCGAGAAATACAGTTGTATCATCCAGATTCAATTCCTCACCGTTTATAATTGGTCTAGTATCCATAACCCTTGCATTTTTTGCACAAAATTTAATGCATTTTGTCTTTTTGCATTAAGTAGAAGGTTATTCATACTAAACCAATGGACAATCGAAGACAGAGCATTGTTCACATCGTCAAAATTTGTTATTTGTCGTTTGATTTTAAAAATCAAGGACGTGTCATCAGCAAACAAAACTATCTGATGTTTTCTCTCTACCATGAAAGGTAGATCATTTATATAAACAAGAAAGAGGAAAGGGCCAAGAATTGAGCCCTGTGGTACCCCCATATCTACTGCCGACCCAGAGGACCTCTTACCATTCACTTCAACCTTCTGAGTTCTTCCGTGTAAATAGGAAGTCAGAAGATTCAGTGCGGTATTCTTGATGCCATAGTGGCGGAGTTTCCCGATTAAGGTCTCGTGTTGGACACAATCAAATGCTTTGGATAAGTCGCAGAAAACACCTAAAGCGTCATGCGACTCCTCCCAAGCCTTAACTATATATCTATATAACTCAACACCGGCATCGGCTGTCGAGCGACCCTTGGTAAAACCGAACTGATTATTATGTAATAATTTGTTTACGTTAAAATGACTTACCAGTTGATTTAATATAATTTTTTCAAATATTTTACTACAAGTAGGTAGTACGGAAATTGGTCTAAAGTTACTGGGGTCGGACATACTACCTGCTTTAAATAAAGGAATAACTTTACTATGTTTCATTAGATCGGGAAACTCGCCACTTTTAATACAATTGTTGAAAATTATAGCTAGATGGGGAGCAATTACATCAATTATGCTACTAATTATTTTTACAGAAATACCCCAAAGATCGGTAGTGTTCTTAATATCTATGGTTCTAAATATCCTCACTATATCGTCGGCACCAATGGGTCGGAATGAAAAACTGACCTTGCACTCGTTTACATTATCTTTGAGCAGCGATTCGGCGAGGTTACAACTACTATAGTTAGATAGAGCCATTTAAGTAAGACCGAAGTTGTTTAGAAACACAAAGAAAATGATACTGAAATAGTACTTATAAAGAAATATATCTAAATCAAGCAAAGAATAACTAGTAAAATCAATAATAAAATAAAATTGGATGTGTACTATTTTTCTTGCATTTTTTTTGTAACTTTTATGTTTACCGTAATTGTCATGTATTTTAGAATAGATAGCACGTAACATATACCGTAGATGTAGCATTATATATGAAGTGCTAAACTTCAATAAATAAATAAATAAGAAAATAAAGAATCGCCGACGACCAGTCACTTTCCGTGCAGCTAGATCCCTTGGCGTTGCGTAAAGATCTGGGATCTGCATCTTCTACCGCATTTATCATGGAGAGTGTACTAAAACCTGCGGCTGAGTTTTATCATTGGACGTCAAGGCAGAATACAAAATGCCATCCGTATCACCTCGACGTCCGTCGTTCCACAACTAAGCGTTTCTTAAGGCAGTTTTTGCCACGCACCACCACTATGTGGAACCAGCTGCGCACTGAAGTATTTCCGAACCAATTCGGCTTAGGGTCCTTCAAGAAAAGTGCGCGCTTGCGAGCCTTCTGGTAGTGCGAGTGTCCATGGGCGGTATCACTTAACATCAGGTGAGCCTCCTGCCCGTTTGTCTCCCGGAAGACTATTCCTATACGTACATTACCTGTATAAAACCTCATTTAATTATAAATATTTTGATACTACCTATAAATATTAAAAAGCATAAAGTCTTCACTGAATTTACTTCACATATTCACCAAGACTTGATCAGTAGTTTTAATACAGAAAACGATGAATTTAACGCTTAACATAAGAATAACTTTAACTACTGAAGAAGACAAATTTAAGCTTCAAGGGGAGAACTCTTTTAATCTCATTTATAAGAATTTCGTAAATGCACAGACAGATTTTTATGAAGCTAATATGTATTTTCTCCATTTCAGGTAAGTGGCTGTTACGGCTCTCGGAAGTGGATGAAAAGCTTACATACACCGCATTCTCTAATTTAATATTTACTCAATTTGCTAATGCACGAGGCTGTATTTTATTAAAAGAAAAACTAAAATGGCCGACCTTCACAATACTAATTGTGACTGGACATACAAATTGTAGCGACAGCTACAAATCTGTGAGTACAAATGACTAGGAATACGTCATGCTTAAAATGCGCTAAAGTTATTACGACCGCTTCAATTGGTTTTTGACTGGGACTTTTGGTTGGTGGTTGAATAGCACCTTCCTTCCCCCACAAAACGTTGTTGGTATAGGTCTTACGGAATAATGCGACGCCATCTTGCTTAAGCGATCTGGCGGGTACTTCAAAGTATGAATGTTAAATTTGAATTTTTAAAATACTACAACCGAATCAAAAATTCCTCATATCCACAGTCACTAATAAATAATCTGAAATTATTAATTGTCTAGATTTTAATTATTAAATGACCATCGTTTTATTCTCATTTTTAGACTAAGTAGAACGTCATCATTCTAATTATTGTTTGTTTTATTGATAGTGATTTTGAAAGATAAACGTTTCAGTATAACTAAAATGATTTTGTTTTGAAATTTTATGAATAAATATATAAATAATAAATAAAATAAAAATCACTTTATTTGACGAAAAAACAATTACATTTTGTACTTACATTCTAACCATAAATATACAATATGCAACGAATCGTTGTGTTCTTACTATTAATTTTGGTTAACCTCGTACATAAAATAATTCTATGAGCACTAGCGTTTAAACTAGGCCTAGCCTGTGTCTTAAACGCTAGTTCCTTCCAGTGTCTTTAACAAATTGGTTGAATATATATATATATGTTTAGGTTAGTAAGCCAAATGTAATAAACAAAGATTTTATTCTAGTACAACGCCACAATTTTTCTTATACTTACTACATTGAAAATATATTTCAAGTTGACATTTAGGCTCACTGAGAAGCTCATATTTTTCGTTTCCTTCTTGACTTATCATATTCCTATCTCACCAAAAGTTGGACCATCCGTCATCGTGATAAATTGTTTACGAGATTGGATGGTTTACTTACGTTTAGAAAATATTTTTTTCAATAGCTTTTGTATCATGCATTCAGTCTTGGTTAATATACATTTATCACTGAACAATAAGGATTCTAACCATCTTCAAATACGTATTATCTCAATCTGGGGCAGGTTTGATTCAATTTAACTTGCCAAAAGGAGTAATGTATCTTAAAGGCCTTAAGAACTTTAAAAAGCATGTTCACGTTTCTAGTTCAATTCCCGGGCGGGGGAATTTAGGGAAGGGTAAAAATACAAATTGTTATAGTTACAAAAATTTAAACAGAAAGGTAAAAAGGAATTTCACATTAACATCGAACGCCAATTGACAAAGGAATAATTCAAGAGATTCAGTATTTGTTATGACTGTTGAACTTACAAGATCTATGTAATATATAATTGTATTTTGTTATAATTAAAATAGTTACAGTTTTCAATATAAATAACAAACTGCATAGGCACCTTTAAAGGCTATAAATCTGGTTTCGAAGTGTGCACTTGTCCGTTTTCAGAGGAATTTAATTAACTACTTTAAAGCTAACAAAATAGGTGCCTATAACAAAACCAAACACAAACGTGCTTCAAATTCTTTTCACGTTTAAAAAAATTCAAAATAAATTCGATACGAAATTGAGTTTTATCCGAAATCCGGGATTATCAAAGGGTTAGTTCGTTTCAATATCGCTAAAAGATTGATTCTCTAATCTGAATAATTGGAATCTGAAAACGTAATTCACGTGAGGAAAACGTTACCTGCGATAATTGGATGTGTTTTGCAAATTCTCTCAATTTTTAGGATTCATAATTTGTCTACAGCTTCTATTTTGGTAACACTTTTTGCTTGCCGTGCCTTTTAAAAACAACAACAGATTTAATATTTTGTAATTCTTATTATAATATTTGAAGTTATACTT